GCAACACTGCTTAAAATTGCCATATTCAATCTAATATCAGCTGTGATACTAAATGATTCTTAAATGTTCATTCCAGGCACCCTCATGTTTTTACATCTGTTCCTGCAGTGCTAATGTCTCCACACCCCACAAGGCAAATATACATTGTTATATAAACATGCACATATACACTGAAGGCAAATATACATTATTTTGCAGAAAGGCAGGAGGAATGTTTGCAAAGAAACCCTGCTGACAGGTTGGAGTAAGACTGAGAGACTGAGACGTAGCTGTAGCTTCTAAGATCCGACTGTTTTCACTTTCACCTATAGTTTTTAAAACCAAATTGAAGCTGAGATGATGAATTGTTTGGTAATGTAAGACATTTTTATCGATAAATCCCCAAAGATGTCCCCTACAGGGATTGTGAGGGACACTTTTACAGACCAGACAAGTGATAGAATGATAAAAAAAAAAATAATAATAATCTGCTGATTTGTCAAACTGCTCACTGCTTCCTGGTGCCCAAAGTGATGTCTTATTACTTCTTTGTCTGACCAGCAGTCCAAAACCCAAAGGCATTCAGCTGAAGGTGATGGACATCAGGATAAAATAACTAATAGTGATATTAAATGATAGATTAATCTCCAATGTCTTTATTTAGAGAGGAGGGTAACCAATGTCAGATCTTTAATGTCAATAGAATGTTGTTGATTTTGTTTGACACAACTGATACAATAATTTGAATTGCAGATCTTAAATGCTCACATATTTATCTACTTTGTAGATAAGAATAAAAAAGTAGAAGTAAGTAATCAAGGAATCAAAAATCTAAACTCAAAATGTCAGACCATGTAGATTCCATCCAAATGCCAGATTGAACTTGATTAAATGCGCGACTGATTAATCGGTATATCACTCGTAAAAGATGAAATTATTGATGGCTGAATTGAATGTTGATGACTCAGTTTCAAGGTTCTGACATTGTGCGTGCTGGTTCACTGTCTCACATGGACACCATTATTCTGATATTAACCTGAATATGATAGTCTTATTAAGATAATGCCATGTTAACAGTATTTTCTGATTAAATAACCTAAATAAGGTCATTCTCTGAATAAGTAATAATTTAATTCAGATGTGGAGTGATTACATCTTATTCACACTACAATGTCCTGGAGTTTCCACAACATTAGAATAAGGTCGGTAGTTGGAATATTGCTTTCCAAATAAACGTTGTCATGACTAATCATTTTACTTGAATGGAAAAGAGTTTACAAGCAGTCTGCCTTTCATTTGCACAACGCAACAGCGGGAGGTTTTTTGAAGACGTGTTCATAACAGCAATGAGTCCTCCACATTATTCAGGCAAGAGGTGGAGCAGCCAGGTGCTGCAGGCAGAGACAGGAAGTACTGTTTTAACTCCGCTGTGGAGATCACGTGATTTTTTTTTTTGACAGCATACAGACAGCAGTGTCAGCTCTTATCGCCACAAACTCTCTAGACATCTTCGTCAGTGTGTTCTGTGTGTGTGTATCTGGAGATATTAGTTTTTTTGTTTTTTCATCAACCCCCCCATTCGCTGACAATGAATCCAGCTGAGGATCCCCTTCTGTGTTCTCAAATTGAATTCCCCTAGAATTCTATGCACATTATACCAGGGGCCCAGGCGGAGTCTGCAAAGACTCTGGTTCACACATGCACCTTCTCTGGAGAAAATACGGAGGAACTGCTAACTTCAGTGACTTCTGAAAGAAGCTTAAGTGGGAACAGGGTATTGGGACAGTGAGAGACTGGGAGATATGGGAGAGAGTTGATGTGTGGGAGGTCAGAGATCTTATAACTCAACTGGAAAGTATTTGTGCAGAAAACAAATGAGCACCTTGAAACCCAACGAAAACTGTCTTTTTCAATTGAACTGAGGCTTCAGCCGTTTGAGTCATCTGTGTGGCATGAGACAGGTGTTACCAGTGACTATGGAGCCTGTGATTAAATACTGTAGCCACCAATCTGTGTCAATGGCCTTGTGCCATATAGGAGTTTTACTACGGCAGGCTTGTTCTGAGAGGTATTGGATGTAGTGTGAATTGACAGGCAACAGGCAGTGAAAAAAATGCTGTTTCTTCGGTCTCACAGCACATCTGTGAGATGCTGTGCTTTCTGGATGCCACAAGAGGATTGTGGGAGTGTGAAAATTCACAGTTAAGATGAAAAGATCCATGGTAAATGTAACAATTTTGCATAAATAATAATTTACTAAATAATTAATTTGTTTCATAATGTGGATACTGATCACTGATTTATATAGCAAAGCTTGTAGCCATTATGACTTTGTGTAAGAGGGATCCCAACAAAGCTGCTGTGTGCTGTACAGATTCAAAAGTCCTTTAAGGCACAGTTGTGATTGTGATAAAAGTGATCTTTTCAAATTAGTTTTAAAATACTTTAGTCCAGATTAGATAGACCCAGACAGATAAGAATAAGAAATGTAAAAATATATATTGAAATACATGTATTTTCTGATGGTGCAGTGGCTTGGCTCTGTGGCCTAACATAAGGTTATTGGTTAGAATTCCAGTTTGGCTTTCTGTGGGAAGTTGGCATGTTCTTCTCGTGTCTGCGTTGATGTTCTTCAAGTACTCTGGCTTCCTCCCACAGTCCAAAGACATGCAGATTTGGGTAAGGTCAAGTGGGTATAATCTCTGTATGTATCTCCAGAGGAGCTGAATGTGAGAATGCAAAGGTCTGAGTGAGACTCCACAAATTCTCCCAAGTTCCTCCTGCAAGCCCTGAGTAAAAGCCCGGATAATATTTTAATAAATTCATTTAAGAAAACAGCAGAAGATTATCTGGAGGATTGACTGTGAGCAAGTGGGTGTGATGATGAAATTTCAAACACAAGATATATGGAAAACTTGTGGATTGATTGATTGATTTCCTGACTTTTCTTTCTGCATAGTTTCTTGCACTGACAACCCTTTTAAATGAAACAATCCACAAGTGCAAATCACTTTTTCTTTTAGCAGGCTCAGGGTCTTCTGGGAAACAGTTGATTTAATCTATAATTTCTCTGTTATTCCAGTTTTTGAACAATCATTTATTTAGTCTGTGTTGTGCAAGATGTTACTATCTTACTTCTATGTCACCGGTTGTCCCATTTGTGAGCCTAATTCCCAAACCAGTTGCCACATTTCCCGTCACCTCATTCGCCCCTCGTCTTCTTGTTCTCCGCTCGTCTTTCCAGCCATCTTGACTTTCTATTTGCTCTTAACTTTTTTGACTTTGTCAGCTTTCCCTTCTCTAACCTCCTGTATCATGTCTAATTATCGAAGTCAGCGCGTGTCTACAGGGAGCTCCTCAATACCTCCTCATCAAAGCCTCTGTTTGTGTTTGCTTGTTTATCTCTGGCTGCTATTCTAGGCACTCTCCTGGAGCCCTGATGATACACAAGCCTCCGCTCACTATGGAGGCTTATATACTTTAAGCTGTCACTGCACCTCCAGTCATTCAAAACACACAAGAAAATTCGATGTTCTACCACTGCTGTTCTTGAAGGAGCATTGTCTTTCAACCTCTATGCATCTTCTTATATGTCTTGAGAGTAGTCAAGGCATGCTAGACATTGTAAAATGTTTCCACATCTGAAATGTTTCCCTTGCCATTTTCTTGTTTCATCCCCTTCCCCTACACCTTACTTTTCTGATTCTTATGTGGGGCATTTTCTCCTGTGACCCCCACCCCACATCTACAGAGCCCCAATAGAACGATGTACTGAGAAGCAGCAATAGCATCGACTCTCCAGAGTTGCCTTCTGGGGATAAATGAGAAGCAGCATTTGTGTAGTTTGGACGGGGATGGGAGGGTTTTCAGGAAAAAGAAGTAATGCAGCTGAGGGTTGATTTGTCAAAGCTTCTTTTGTCTGTGCGCAAATTAGGGAAAGAAACTTATATTTTTCATTCTCTTTAATGCTGTGGTTGCGTTTTGATGTTAAAAGCAAGGTCACAATTTTTCCATTGTTGATGAGGTTTCGCAGGTTATGCATCTTGAAAGTGTCTTGCATTTGTGTGTGCATGCATTGGTCAGCACTCATTTTGTGCTTCAAAGCACTGTTACGGCAATTATTGACACAAGTTGTGACAGAGTGGTATTTGTTGTTTGTGTGTGTCTTTTGAATCCAATATGCACCACATGGGATTGTTCGAAGATTATTTTTGCTGTTGCATAAAATCATCATATTTCCCAATAACGATGTTTTCGCTTTAATTATTTAAAATATAAAGTCTTTATTTATAAAACCCTCCCAGTGCAGAATTACAATGCAGGCTTAAAATAAGTCTTGTTTTTTTACTTTGAGGAGTTGATTTTTGAGTTAGTTGTGAGAGCTGCTATGCATGTCTTCAGGCTCTGCTCTCTCGTGTACCTCTGAGTTTAGGGCAACTCAAATTTGGTCCCATTTAGTGTGGGTTTGAGCTGTGTCAAGACAGAAACACAAGCCTTAATGGGGGTGTGGGGGACTTGTTTCTTGTGGGGATTCTGAGGAGGATTATGGGTCATGATTGCTCTCCAGATGAAGGTCTGCACTATACAGAACCAGTCTAATTACATGTTTCACAAAATCACAAAGTCCAAAATCCTGCCTCTGATTTTTGTTTTGCCACTCAAGCTCTGATGCAACAAGGGAGGGACTTGAGTTAGGGGACTATCGCAGAAATGCTGTTTGCTTCTCTTCTTCTCAAAATCTTTAGACTAAAGAGGAGTTTTAAAGTTGCCAAGACCAAAAATAAAGAAAAAGAACAGGACATACAGCTCAAAAGACAGATATTTCAAAAGAAGAAGAAAACGCTAAATAGGTTTTTGAGTGATTTTTTTTCGGATTAAAATCTTCTGAAATCTTGGTCTAGATTCATTCTCTCAGACCAGTTAACACATTAAATTCTGTAAAATGAATCATTCACTTGACTTGACTCTCATTTGTTGAACCTTTGATCTCAAACCTTCATCCCTGTCTCGTTGTGTCACAGGTTGCACGATGGATGAGACGGAGAAGTACAAACAGAGACTGGAGGCCATTGCTGTGAGTCCTTGCAAACAACACACACACACACGATTATCTGTTTCTCGATGAATTGGGCGAGTGGTTATGTGTTATGCGTCCACCTTCACTGCACTGAGTTGAATTGATCATATTAACATTGAAAGCAGAAATGCTTGGGTTGCTCACGGTCAGCAGCCGCCCCCTCTGATAGATGACAGTAGTCTGTGTGAATGTGGAAGTTATTCTTTCTCGAAGCACTTCTCTGAAAAATGACATTCATGTACTGTTAAGATTCTAATGATTTGTCTGACACAACCTCTACAGCCTGAATGTAAACGTGCTATGATTATTAAGTAATTAACTGCAGCGGGAATTAATTGCTAGTTAATGATTTGAATAATCAATTTCCATGATTCCTCGCATCGTAATCAGAAAAGTAATGCATCATTTAACTAGAACTTTGCCCGGTGGAGTGCATAACGTCACGTTTGCTGTTTGTTTGGACATACTTCTAAAACTATTGAAGATATATACAGTGTAAACTTTTTATTCCCAACTGAACCCACATTATCTCAGCTTCACATTGGTGAATGCTACAGTAATCCTATTTGTTACCATACAGTGACTGAAAGATATCCTACCCCCCCATAAAACCACATTTAATACTGCTAGATCCAGATTTTTATTTGATTCCGCACCAACTTGCAGGTAATCTTTAATATAAGTCTTCTAAATATGTTTTTTTCAAGATACATGAAATATTCCCCAGGAAATCCATTAAATATTTTAAAAAAATGCTTTATCCTTCCAATTTATTATTATAATAATAATACACATTCATATAGATCTGCACCAATATTTGTGGGGGTTCTCTTTTGGCCCGTTTCCTGTCGTTTCACCAAGTGTGATTTTTTTTGTGTAATCTTGATGGAAAAAAAACAACTATATAACATAAACATTTAAAGTTGTATTTCAGCCAGGAAACAGCATCAGCGGGATGGTTCACCACTGGGCTTGTGTAGGCTCTTCAGATGATCCTTTATTGGCAAACTGCTCAAAACGCAATGAAAACATGAGGATATAATGTCAATGCATGAATATTACATTTATTTCCTTGAGCAGAGGCTTATGACTTTTACATATCAGTTTCTCCATATTGGAGAAGCTGATATGGCAACACATTAGACGGTTTGAAAAGATTTATGTCTATGGATTTAAACTTTTATTTTAGTGGCTTTTCATTTCTTCATTTTCAAGATGCAAGTGGTGTCATAGGACCTCCTGGATTTCTTGGCACAAAAAAGAGAAATTCTCAACATGCATCAGTTATCAGCAGTTATAGGCAGGTTTACAATTGAGGTACCACCACCGAGATGACGGCTCGTCGCCTACAACCGAGACTTGTCTGTATAGAGAGAGCGGGTAATGGGACTAAGCTGTGCTCTCTGAGCTGTCTATAACTCCTTAATAATTTATTGACTGTGCAGTGTGGTGAGCCAGGGTGTCCCTTGTCCCATGAAAACAACTCCAGGTTGCCATGTGGACAGGTGCTCTGAGCATTATGGGATTTATAGCATACCTGATGTCTATGGTGACGTGTCCTTGTGACAGATGGCTGACCAGGTGTCCTGGTTTTTACTTTTTCTCAGTGATGTTTTATTCACTGCCGTCTATTCCCTTTCTCTGTTTATTCCATTACATCAGATTGTTTTATGTGAGTTTAACCAGTCCCCTTTTCTCTCGTTCTTTCTGTTTGAATAAAGTCATGCTTTTCTTGCCCTCTCTCTGCGTTCATTCAGTTTTTGGTATTTTTGTAATTTTCTCTTTCAGGAGAAGCGTCGGGAGCAGGAGGAGCAGGACAGAGCCAGGAGAGACTTGGAGGATGAGAAGATCAGACTACAGCAGCTCAAGGTGTGTCTCTCTCTCTCTCTCTCTCTCTC